GGGGGGGGTTGAGAAGATTTATCACTTCGATATGAGGCTGATCTGATGAAGATGGGGGTCGCGGGGGTGGGATCCTGGACCCATCTCGGTTAGTGCTGCTCTAACTGGGAGGCGAACTAAAGACAAGGCTGCACGTGCAGCATGGATTAAAAGAGTTAGAACAAATAAAAGTTGTGCACCAGAATGAATCAACTTTTGATTTGGTTTGAAAACTTTACACAGATGCAGCGCGACCTGCTCCGTGTTCACATACATTAATCAAAGCTCATTAAACTGACCCATGTTGAGCCATTAGCTTTTATGTCTTTTAATTGTCTCCTGACCATTGAAGCGCTGGGAATGACCCCCCCCCCCCATCTTTCCCCTCTGCTGCACGCGGCTTACAGCTTCAACTGTTCCAGGCTCCTTTTCCTCGTGCTGACAGTTATTAATATGTAAAGTGCTCGAGAGGACTTTGTGTTGAATTAAAGCTTCAGACCTGTCCTCTGCAGCGCGTGCGCTCCTTGAAACAATTCCTCCGTTTGCTCCTAATTAATATTATATATATTAATATCTTGGAGGCCTTTCTGCTTTAACTGTCTTCTGTTATCACATGAAAGTTTCATTAATGTTTGGATATAAATGCAGAGCGACCACCGGAAGTCATGACATCATGGAGGTCACGCTGACCTCCATGAGGAACTCCTGAACGTGAACTGGAGCTGAATCGATTCCAAAGCGTGCTGGAGTGGATTGAAGTCGTGACATCATGCCACGATATAGAGAATAAACAAACACATAAACAAACAAAACAAAGCGGCAAACATCAAAGACTGGTAACATGGCACAACTTTTTCAGGAACGCATGCGCACAAACGCTGATCCAGATTTATAATTTATTTATTCATTTTTGAACTCCAACAAAACTCTTAAAGTGTTTGCCCCTCTCCAAAAAAAAACTAATCCTCTCACCGTCAGCAAGTTCAGGCGTTCAAACATCTGAGCGTGCGCGCGCGCGCGTGTGTGTGGGGGCATGTAGGAATCCCGGAATCGCTAATTTTAGGCAACAGCTCTTGATACTCAGCTGTGGTTGAGCCCCGCACTTCTAGCTCAGCTGTAATGGTCTCAATGATGCTTTAAGTGGGCGCGCGCCAGCCTCCGCGCGCCGGACTGAGCGCACAACTCCAAATTTACGCGCAATGTGACCAAATGGGTGTGTGTGTGTGTGTGTGTGTGTGGCGGGGGGGGGGGGGGGGGATCAGGCAAAGCGCTCAATTAGCTCTAATGGAAACAGTTTTCGTTCACCGCAATAACTCACTCTGCTCCATTTTATTTATATATTTTATTTTTTGTTCTTCGCTTCTACGACACTTTCTCATTTCATATTTTATTAACAGGTCCTGCGGCCCTGGCTGCAGGATTATTAGGAAATAATTGGGTTCGAGACCCCCCAACTGTGGAACCTGTAAACTTTTACAAAATCACATTCAAACCACAAGTTTTTTTTTTTTTTTTGTCGGATATTTAACAGTTTTACTGTAAGCCAGCGCGCGCGGAGGGAGTTAAACATAATATGATCCGTGCAGAAAGTGGGTGCAGACTAAAAGGAGCCTCCGGCGCACGGAAATGACCAGAGCCCGCGTGACCTTTGAGCAAGGTAATCAATCAAGTGATCAACAGGGATATTTATCAGAGGTTGTCCAAACCAAACCTGCTCCTGAAGCAAAGGTCAGGATGGAAAACAGCCAAGAAAACACAAACATCTTTACTTTGAGCATAATAATAATAATAATAATAATAATGATAATAATAATAATAATAATAATGTTGAACATAACATATATATAAAATACACATATTATATATTAGCAATTATTGATTAAAAAAGATAAATAAATATCCTGACAAATTTAAGTGTTTTTTTCTTCTTTTATAATTTCAATGTAGCATGCCTAAATAAATAAAACAGAGTTGTTGTTTTTTTCCTAGAAGGGGTTTAAATAAACCTGAGATGGGAACTTATTGCACCTGAACTAAACACCAGTCTTATTTATTCTAACATGCCAAGGAGATATAATGTTTCCAGTTGAACCAAAATTTATTTCAAAGCAGAGAAAAAAAAAATAAAAAAATAAAAAGCAAAAGTCTCAGCAACAGATAATAATTAATTTCTATCAAGATTCAGCATTTTGTTAAAACAATTCGTTTTTTGACATCGCTTAAATAAACTATAAGGGTAATATAAACAGAAAGAATCAATAATTAATAAGAGGGCTTTGCTTCCTTAACTGTGAGTGAGTTCCCAAAATTTACACAAAATAAAGATGAAAACTAAAAGGGCAAGTTAATTTCATATAAATCACCAGATGTTCCAGATGATTCCTCACAGAAGAAGACACGAATTTACAGCTTTTCATAATGTGGAAATCTGGAACGACATGATGTTTCCACATGGGCTTCACGAATGTCACAATTTAACATGTTCTCTAACGTGAAAAATGTGAACATCACATGCGACGTCTCTGGTTTTATTTATTTATTTATTCTGTAAAGAACACAAGTACAAGGGACAGAAACCAACATGAACTCATCTCGTGTTATTCAAGGTGTTTTGAACGATGTTGACAAAGTCTTTCTTTTCTTTGACTGATATATTCCTTGAAACCATACACATATATATATATATGGTATTTTTTCTTCAAAATATGCCATAATTTTTGTTTGGTCAAAAATTGTTCATAAGTGAAAATGTTATATTTCAATTTTATAACTGCTCATTGTCTAAGAAGTTCTTCATTTTGCTGTACTTTAGCCACATCTCATTTAAACTACAATTATTTAAATACTTTAGTTCACAGAGACCAAACGCAAAATAACGATTTTTTTTTTTTAGATTTGTTATCTTCATACGAATTTTAAAAACTCGTCTAAAAATACTGTTAGCTGAAATTCCTTGTGCTATACCTCCCTCTAGTGGCCATAATCAACAGTGTTTGAACTTTTTGTGTATATGTGACTCGATGGCATTTATATTTTTGATTAGTCCTAAAATATAACGCTATGAAATATATTGTACAGTTGGAATATATATTAAAAAAAAAACTAATTCGAGCGCTTTATAAATATCAGCAAGTGACAGACTGATGGTTTGGCTGTCTCTGAAGACACTGAAGAAAAATCCATTTTAACAGCTGCTTGGGAGACAGATGATCCACCCCGAGACCATTTGTAGAAGTAGTATTGATAGAGCTGGTGTTGACTTTTGACATATTTATCTCCGAAAATTAGTTGATGGGAGGTTCCTAACCCCCTCACCACCCCCTGATGTCTCCATTGCTTGCAGTCACTGTCATCGAAGACATTGGACAAGTAATCAATGGGACAGTCGATCAAGGTTATTTATGTCCATTTCCAGTAAGAGTAAAGAGATCATGTCACATTCCCGGTTGCAAAACCATTACAGGAACAGCACATGGATGGGATGCGTCCAAACTGATCCTGACAGCATCTGGTCACGTGGATCTGAAGCAAAAAAAAACATAGAAAAGATCATTAGAGACTATTTTATCTAATCTGATGGAATGAATCTTTATCTCAACGCATTTAAAAAAATTACTAAAATTCTGACTTGATAATAGTTTGAGGTATTTATAGGGTAATTTAAATTAATCATCTTAAAAGCTCAATTGGAATTATATTAATAAAGAATAGCTCCAAACTCAATAAAAATTATTATAATTGTTCGATCTCGTGGTGTAACTCACAATATTTAGAAAGTTGTCTGATTCATTCCACCAGTTCCCGTAGTGTAGTGGTTATCACGTTCGCCTAACACGCGAAAGGTCCCCGGTTCGAAACCGGGCGGGAACACATTAATGATTTTTTTTTTTTTTTCCTCACCACCTTTATATTTATCTATTTGTACATTTCCCCTCAATTCACATAACTGTGTTTTATTACTTCATGTTCACTTTATCAAAACAGACGTGTCTGTTTTCACATATCATTTCCACTCATAACACGGTATTTTTGCTTACTTGACTGTCAAGCAGCAGCATGTACCACATTCTATTAAGAGAAAATATGTAATTATTTAAGGACACAAAAATACTAAAAACACGTAATATTTGTGCCCAGAGAAATGGTGGTAAGTGTTACGAAAGACAGAAATTAAAACGGTCTATGCTTCCTGTAAACTCCACAAGAGGGCAGTATAGAGCAAGAGGAAAAAATATTTTGAAGAATTTGCTAAATAAATTGTTTAAATGAGAGTTGAATTCTTACTCCTTGAGAAACAAAATAAATTATTTAGTCCTGAGCAAAGTTTTCTGGCATGGTTATTTTATATTACTACTATTATAGTACAATAAGTATAGTAACACTTTATACTACTACTACTACTACTACTACTACTACTACTATCCATCCATCCATCCATCCATTATCTTTACCTACTTCTTCGTTTTAGAGTGGCGGGGGTCACTGGTGCCCATGTCTAGCCATCACTTTGCGATAGGCCGGATACACTCTGGACAGGTTTTCAGTCCATCACAGGGACACATAGAGACAAACAACCATTCACTCTCTCACTCACACGTAGGGACAATTTTTACTGTTAACAATCAGCCTAACATGCATGTTTTTGGTCTGTGAGAGGAAACCGAAGTACCCAAAGAAAACCCACGCATGAACAGAGAGAAGATGCAAACTCCACCCAGAAAGGCCTCTAGACTGGGATGTGAACAAAAGTGACCTGCTCGCTGCGAGGCAGCAGCTCTACCAGTTGCACCACCGTGCTGCCCATCCATCCATCCATCCATCCATTATCTTTTACCCACTTCTTCCATTTTGGGTCATGGGGGTCGCCAGTGCCCATGTCCAG